TGCTACCCCATCTTTTTAGTTTGTTTGTTTTGTTGCATTTTTTCATGGAATATTTGTTTCCATCCCTTCATTTTCAGCCTGTGTGAATCCTTTGCTCTGAGGTGGGTCTCTGGTAGACAGTATATACATGGGTCATATTTCTTAGCCACTCAGCTACCCTATGACTTTTGATTGATGTATTTATTCCATTTATATTTAAGATTTTTATTGATACATATTAGTTTACTCCAATTTTCCCCTTTATGCCTATGTACCTTTCTGTCAATATATTTTTCTTCTTAGAGCAGTCCTTTTAGCATTTTTTGCAGTGCTGGGTTGGTGGTACTGAGCTCCTTTATCCTTCTTCTGTCTGGGAAGCTCTTTATTTCCCCTTCCATTTTAAATGAGAGCCTTGCTGTATAGGGCAGTCTTGGTTGCAGGTTCTTGCTTTTCATTACTTTGAAAACTTCATGCTAATCCCTTCTGGCCTGAGGTGTTTCTATTGAGAAATCTACTGACAACCTTATGGGGCATCTCTTGTTGGTCACTGATTGTCTCTCCTGGAGCCCTTAATATTCTCTTTGTCCTTAACATTTGCCATTTTGATTGTGGTGTGTCTTGGAGTGGGTCTCTTTGGGTTCCTCTTGTTTGGTGCCCTCTGTGCTTTCTGAACTTGGTAGGCTTTCTCCTTCGCCAGCTTAGAAAAGTTTTCTGCCGTTATTTCTTCCAACAGGTTCTCTCTCCCTTGCCTCCTTCCCTCCCCCTCTGGCACCCCTATTGTGCACATTTTGTTTTGTTTCATGTTGTCCCTCAGTTCCCTTAAACTGTCCTCATGCTTTTTAAGTGTTTTCCTGCTTGCTGCTCTGGTTGAGTTGTTTTCCTACCTTATCTTCAAATTCACTTATTCAGTCCTCTGCTTCATTGAGCCTGCTTTTAATTCCTCTTCATTTCTGCCTGGTTCTTACTCCTAATATCTATATTTTTTCATGCTGATGTAGCTTTCACTAAGTTCTTTGTATTTCCCTCTAAATTCCTGGAAGTTCCCATTAAGTGTCTTGTGATTCTCACTAATTTTTTTGAACATCTTTATAACCATTATTCTCATCTCTTATTTCTGATAACTTGCTTACCTCCATCTCATCAAGGTCTTTTTCTGGCAGTTTTTCCTTTTCTTTAGTTTGCGGTTTTTTTCTTTGTCTCCCCATTTTAGTTGTCTCTTTCAGTTTGTATCTGTGATTTAGATATATTTTCTGTGTCCGTGTTTGTGGTGTGGGCTTTTGTAGTGAATATCCGGTAGGACCCAGAAGTGTATTTCTCTTATACTTCTGAGCAGTATATTTTGGGCATGTCCCTTTGTAAGTTCTTTGGGGTCTCCTATTGTGGTTGGGCCTAGATTGTTGTTGACCTGTTGGTGTGAGGACTCTCCTGTCAGGCTGCCTAACTGTGAAGCTCAGCCTCTACCATGTCATGTGAGCTGTTCTACAGGTGCTGACAGGGGAAAGTAAAACACACAGGAACTTACAACATATCCGACAATCAGTATGAAAGCAACCCAAGAGAAAGTAGATTTAGGAAAGCAACGAGAGAACACAAATGCTAAAGCAAAAAAGGAGAGAGAAATGGATACTATTGCTAATAGTAAAAAAATAAAAAATAAAGAAGCTACTAGGAGTTAAAGGAGTCAGAGAAAAAGATTGTGAAATGAAAGAAGAAAGGAAAAAATAAAGGCAGACAGTAGGGATAGGAAAATGGTTTTAAAAAGACAGGAAGTTGGAGAAAGAAAAGGGAAAAGAAGTTATGCAAAGGGAACAAAGAGAGAGAAAGGTCAAGCAAGGGCACAGAAGGAGGTTAATAAGGGATATGGAAAAAATAGTAGAGAAAAGCAATAAACTTAATAATTACAATAACAATATCCAAACAATAAAGCAGAGAATATGAAGGAAATCTTAAAAAGAAGAACAAAACAAAAACAACAAAAAAAACAAAGCAAGACATCACATCCAATAATAATCGTAATGATGATGATAATAGTAGTAATTTTTTTAAAAGCCAGCCAAGTGAATTTTTGTGGGCAGCTTATTTTATCTGAAGTTCACTGTTTTATATGCTTATTTGGGGCCTCTTAGGTGGTACTTTAGGGTCAGGCAATGTCAGGTCCTGTGTGGGTTTGTCCCTTGGTTTATTTATATAGCTGGTTGATCTGAAGCTCTCTACAGACCACCGCTACCTGTCATTTACTTTTCCTTCTTCTTCTGGTTGACTAGTCTTACTCCAGCATCTTCTGAAGAGAGTCTTTACGGTGCAGGCCAACTTGTGTACCTATTGCTCTTGGGCCTCTTACAGATTTCTGCGTCAGGCATTCTCTGTGGGGAAATTAATCTCTGCTTCAAAGCCAACTCCTCAGTCTCTACCATATTCTCCAGCTCTAGTTACCCCTAAAGTAACCTGGTGAATGTTCAGATTGAATTGAGCGTGTTTGCCTTTTCTGTATGGGCAGTTTTAGGTGGCCTTGGCTCCGTGGGATTGATCAAAAGAGACTCTGGTGAGCACGTTACCTGCCCAGCCCCCAGACAGGGTTTTAAGCATTTCTTCTGGTTCCCAAACAAAACTCCCTGAGAGTCGTAGTCTTGAAAGGTCCTTTTGTGAGCTGTTGTCCCTTCCCCCATCAACCTGTGCCCTGCAGGGGTATCACGGGCTTCAGTGAGCTAGACCAGCCCCTTTTCTGGTGGAGGTGGTACTCCTATCCTGCAGGAGAGGCAGCCATGCTCCGCTTCTCCTTTCCCCCGTTCTTCCTGGCTGAACAATGCAAACACAAAACCCAGCTTTGGCTGGCCTGCCTCCCCAATATAAGCCAGGAAGGTGGATGCCATGGGGTGCCAAGCAGTAATAAAATACACATAAAGTAACAAACAGGCAGAAAACCTGCTTTTTGAGGATCTGGCACCATTGCACCACAGGTCCAAGCAGAAGGGATTACATATTTAGCCCCATGCAGGTCTCCCACAGAGGTGATCTCAGTAAAGCTGGGGCCATGATTCCCAGCTCTGTTCCCTATCGGGCTTTCTTCAGAACAGGTCAAAAATCCCCACTCTGCCTCATAGGCAGATCCAGAGTCTGGTGGTGAGAAGTCTCGCATCCCCTTCCCTGTGCCACACAGTTAAAATGCTTTCTGGAGCTCATACAGTGCTTTACAGGAAAGCAGAGGGTCCCTTTGGTTCACTGCTGGGGGCAACCCACAGGCCCCTTTCTATTCTGAAGCCACACACTGCAGGACAGCCTTTCCTGCAGTCAGCACTGGGAGTGAATATGTCCTGCCAAAGCTGCTGCCATTAGGCGTGTTCTTTCACTGGGAAGTTTCGGACCCCACCTCAAAGGCAGACAGTTCTCCTGGCTCTCTCTGCCCAGTGTGCATGGGCTCTCCTTCCCTTCTCCACTGCTGAGGATTTGAGATCCCTGCTTTTGCATGCCAGAATGAAACTGGACACAGTGCGTCTGGGCTGCCTGTCACCACTTGGGCCAATTAAGCAGAGACAGGGTTGAATCATATATGAGTGTTTATTCCAATACTGCTGGCAGCATGGGAGAGAGCAACAGGATTTGTCTACCCCACATCTGCCCTGCTCTCTCCTTACTAGATAGCTGATTATCTAGGGATAAAGAAGAAAGGCTGCATGCAAGGGCGGAGGGGGGGAGGATGGCTACAGAGTCTGTAGTCCTGGAGTCCCCTCCATGATCTTGAAGTCAGATAAAATAGTAATTAATTTTCAATGTGTTTAGAACCCAGCTTCACCACTTCCTTAGGACCTGAGAATGATCAGCATTACAGAGGCAAATTCCCAGAGGAGGTTCTGTCTCCAGGCACAGCAACCATGTCAAAGTGCTTATTGTCCTTTGTCTGTTCTCAAAATGCATTTTCTGTTGTGAGCAATGGACCCACCCAGGTCCCATCGTGTCTTATCTTCTTACAGCTCTGTTTTTCTTCTTGCAGCACATCCTCCAGTTTCCCAGGTTCTGAAGGAAAACTTCTGATCTATAGTTAGTACGGTGAATACTCATTAAACAACTATGGTCCTATTCCTATTAGGTCCCTTTCCCCCTTTCACAACCACTGTCAACAGAGCATGATCAACATCTATGCCCCCAACAAGTCCACACTACCAAGAGGAGGGAGCTTTGCATCCTCTAACCCTTAGGCCTCCCAGTCAAGCATGGGCTTCGGGGGGGACGGGGGCACTGCCCCTTCCACACCTCCCCCTCTCTTACCAGTCTCTACAATGTTTCTTCAGTGCTTCTTAGTCAAAATATACCCAATCAGCTATATTTCCCTTGTTTTTAGAAGCTGCCTATGCAGTATTTTAGCTGTAAATCTACTCCATGGCTGGGAGCAGGGGCACTCAGCCTCTTGTTAGAGTGCCACAATTTTTTAACTACTCCAGTCCTATATTGTAAAATAGTTTAGTCCATATTTATTTTGATCTATGAAATCCATGGCACTTGTTTAATAGTCACCTCTTTCCATAGCATTCCTTGAGCACCATTGGGTACAGAGTGTAGTGTATAAAGGAGGCATATGATCCTTGATCTTAGGAACTTGCCTCCTGATAGGAGACTGAGCCTGAAGTGAGAAGTCATCATTAGTTTGCCTTTCAAACTGTGGAAGAGTAATCTGATGAAGGGCTATCAAGTCTTCTTAGAGGAGAGGTGCATGGGAAATGAACTCAGAAAAAATGGGAAGGTTGCATACCTATAAATATATTTTAAAGCCAAAAGTATTTCTGCTGTCTCTTTAACTTACTGTTGCAAGAATATTCAGCTTATTCCCAAAGTAAGCAAAAGCTAATAGAATGTTATTTGAAGCAGACACAGAACATCGTCGGGTAAAACCCTGGCACAATCACTTCAAATGTTGCCAAGGACCTTTCCATTCATTCTGTACTCCCTGCCTGCTGCCAAGCCTTATTCTGGGGCTGTTGTAAAAAAGAAAATAATTTACTTTCATGTTCTTATTTTGTTATTTCCAGATGGTTACTGTGGTGACCCACCGAAGTTCCGTACTATGGTATCCAAGACTAATCATTCACCCCCTTATAATATTGGGGTTGAAATAGACTACCAGTGTATCCTAGGATATGTGCCTAGGTATCCTCCTCGTCCCACCAAAATTGTTTGTGAGAACAATGCTACCTGGACAAATATCACAGAGGCTTGTACAAGTAAGTACAGAAAACTTCTTCTTTTTATATCTCTAAAGATTTTCACACATTTTAGAGTCTACATTACACTATTTCAATGATAGTTTTCTCAGGTGGATGTAGGTTTTTAGATAGCAATGTATTTTTTCAGGCTTTGAAATTCTCCAGGTAATTTTTTACTTGACTATTGATTTTCTGGAGCAATGTGAATCTTAACTTTGGCCATTAGTGACAACATGGATGGACTTAGAGAATATTATGCTGAGCAAAATAAGTCAGAAAAAGCTAAGAACAATATGATTTCACTCATATGTGAGATATAAAACTGAAACTTGTAGACAGAGACAAGTTTGTTGGTTACCAGAGGGAAGTGGGGGTGGGGAAATGAGTAAAGGGAACCAAAGATATGTGACAGAAAATGAACTGACTTTGGGTGGTGGGTACACAATGCAATATACAGATCATGTATCATAGACATGTATATTTGAAATATATATAAATTTATTAACCAATGTGAATCCAATAAATTAAGTGAAAATAAATGAGAAAAAAATATTTCCATGAATATAGTAGAGCAATATATAATTTTTATTTTCATTCAAATCTCTTTTGACTTTGTATAAAACAACAAATTGGGAGGTGGGTGGAGCAGACAGGATGAAAGGAGGTTAGGAGAATAGCCAAAGAGCATATATGCATATCCCATGGACACAGACAACAATGTGGTTAGGGCTAGAGCGGTAGTGGGTAGGGCTGGGACTTGGTGAATGGGGTCAAAAATGGGGGAAATGAGGGACACCTTTAATTATGTCAACAGTAAAAATATTAATCAACTGATTAGAAAATGGTCAAAGGACATGAAAAGATGTATCTCAAAGAAGACATGGCAACAGACATATGAAAAGATGCTCAATATAATTAATCACCAGGACAGTGAAAATCAGAACAATTTTGAGATCCCACATCACCCCAGTCAGGATGGCTGTATTCAAAAGTCCAACAAACAAACACCATGTGTTGGCAAGGATGTGGAGACAATAGAAGCCTTGTGCACTGTTGGTGGGATTGCAAATTGGTGCAACCACTATAGGGTACTCTCTGGATATTCCTTAAAAAACTAAAAATAGATCTATAATACAACCTAACAACTCCAATTCTGTGTATTTATCCAATTAATTAAGAAATATACATGGACACATATGTTCCTTGCTGCATTACTCATAATACCCAGGATATGAAAGCAAACTAAGAGTTCATAATTACATGAATAGATAAAGAATTTATATACACAGACACACACACACACACAGGAATATTGCACTAATATAAACAAAGAATGAAATCTTGCCATTTGCAAAAACATAGATGGATCTAGGTATTATGCTACGTTAAATAAGTATAAAAGAGAAAAACAAATACATATGATTTCACTTACATGTGGAATCTAAATAAACAGAGAAAACAAAGAAACAAAACAAGAACAGACTTAAAGAAACAGTGAGTAAAGGAATGGTTGTCAGATGGGAGGTGGATGGGGTGATTCATGAAAAAGGTGAAGGGAAATATTTTTATGATTAATTTTCACCATCGCAGTTGATGGTAGAATTAGTTGGATGATCTCATGGTAAGGTATAACATTTTCAAATCACTATATTGTATACTTAAAACTAATACAAATGATAAAATATTATATACCAACCATACTGAAATTTAAAAAAAAAAGAATTGGAAAACCTAAGTAAAGGATCACTAGTAAGGAAATTTAAGCAGTAATCAAATACTTCCCCTTAAACACAAGTCCAGGCCCAGATGGATTCATTGTTTAATTCTGCAAAGCATTCAAAGAAGATTAAATACCAATCCTTCTCAAACTGTTCCAAAAATTCAAGCGGAGGGAATACTTTCAAACTCATTTCATGATGCCAACCTTTTCCTTATAACAAAACCAGTGAAGGATATACACACAAAAGAAATGTACAGGCCAGTATCTTTGGTGAGCATCAATGCAAGAATTATAAACAAAAGACTGGTAAATCAAATACAACTATACATTAAAAGTATCACATATCATGATCAAGTGAGGTTCATTCCAGGGATGGAAGGATGATTAAACACTCACAAATCAATCAGTGTGATGCACCACATTAACAAAAAAAGAGATAAAAAATCATGTGATCACTTCAAGAAAGGCATTTGACAACATACAACAGCTACTTATGACTAAAACACAATAAAATGGGTAGAGAAGCCAAATATCTCAACATAATAAAGGCATGCTGTGACACTCAGCTAATGTCATAGTCAGTGGTGAAAAACTGAAAGCTTTTCCTGTAAAATCAGGAACAAGACAAGAATGCTAACTCTCACCACTGTTATTCATCAGAGTACTGGAATTCCTAGTCAGAGAAAATAGGCAAGAAAATGAACTAAAAGGCATCTAAATTGGGATGGAAGAAGTGAGGCTGTCATTATTTGCATATGACAAAATTCTCTATATAATAAATCCTAAAGACGCCACCAAAAGACTTTTAGAGAAAATGAACAAATACTGTAAGTTGCAGGATACAATATTAGTGTACAAAAGTCCATTATATTCTTACGTATATTTTTAAATTTAATATGTTTTTTTTAAATATGTCTTCATTGATTTCAGAGAGAGGAAGGGAGAGAGAGAGAGAGAGAGAGAGAGAGAGAGGAGAGATAAACATCAGTGATGAGAGAGTCGTTGATCAGCTGCCTCCTGCACACCCCCAACTGGGGATCAACCCCTCAACCCAGGCATGTGCCCTACAGCAATCTCCTGGATCCTAGGTCAGTGCTCAGCTGCTGAGCCACACCCTGCTGGGCTGTTCTTACATATTAACAACAAAATATCAGAAAGAGAAATAAAGAAAACAATCCTATTTACATTGGAACAATCAGGATAAAATACAAAGGAATCAACAAAGGATGTGAAGGAACTTTATACTGAAAAGTACATTGCTGAAAGAAATTTAAGAAGACCAATAAATGGAAAGATATTTCATGTTAATGGATCAGAAGATTTAACAGTGTTAAAATGACCATATGTGTGAAGCAATATACAAATTTAATGCAATGCTCATCAGAATCCGAATGGCATTTTTCAAAGAAATAAAACAAAATTTTATGTAATTTTATGGGCCTACAAAAGACTCTGAATAGCCAAAGCAATCCTGAGAAAAAAGAAAAAGCTAAAGATATTGTAACAGTGAATAAAAACTTTATAGTACACTGACTAACCATGAAATGGAATTAGAATAAAATGTACAGACAAACTGATAAAAGGAATTCACACATTAACAGTTTCCTTATGAGCATATTACACGCATTAGCAGTTCCAATTTCTGCTTGTACAAGATCCGGCCTTGGCCAGGACTTCAGTGGATGCAGGGTCCCCTAACAGCAGGAATTTAGCTAGCACTGACCAGATCCAGTATGCTGACAACAAAGATTCATATGGCCCTGTCAGGTGTGATTCAGTTGGTTGGGTACTATCCCATGTACCAAAGGGTTGACTGTTCTATTCTGAAGATGGCACATGCAAGGGTTGCAGGCTTGATCCCAGGTAGGGGGAGTGCAGAATGTTTCACTCTCCCATCCATGTTTCTCTCTTTCCCTCTCCCTTCCTCTCTCTGTAAAATTCAAGAAAAAAACCTTTTTTTAAAATGATCCCTTCTGGGAACAGCAAGGACTGCTTGGAGGCAGGTTCACAGCCCCTCCTCCTGATCTCTTTGTTCTGCTTTCCCTCAATGAACATCAATTATGTCCCTCTCCCTCCCTATAAGAACCGATGCCTGCACTGAGATGTCAAGATGGCTTTAAGATGAGTCCCCCATCTTCTCAGGTTACAGGCACTTAAATAAACTTGTTTTCTTTTTACCAGCATCTGTCTCATGAGTTTGGTGTCTGTGGCAGCAGGCGTCTGTCTCATGAGTTTGGTTTCTGTGGAAACTTGGTTCCAGTTTCAGTATTACACCTCCTGACTTCAAACTATGCTACAAAGCTACAATAAAAGTGTGGCATTGGCAGGAAAACAGTCTCACAGCTAATTGGACAGAACTGAGAGCACAGAAATAATCACACACATAATGAACAACTAATTTTTGACAACAGAGCCAAAAAGAGACAATGACACAAGAAAAGTCTCCTCAATAAATGGTACTGGGAGAACTGGAAAGCCGCATGCAAAAGAAAAAACTTAGACTTCTATGTGATACCATAAACAAAAATTAACTCAAAATGGATTAAAGACTTGAATATAAAACCTGTAACAATAAAATACATAGGAGAATATATAATTATTAAACTTATACACTGTGGTCTCAGCGGGGTTTCTGTGAACTTGACCCCCAAGGCACAGGAACTGAAAAAAGAAATAAATAAATGGCACTACATCAAATTTAAAAGCTTCTGCACAGCAAAAGAAACTGTCAAAAGAACAAAAAGGCAACTGCCCTGGCCAACATTGCTCAATGGTTAGAGCATCATCCCTCACACTGTAGGGTTGTGGATTTGATTCCCAGTCAAGGGCAGGTACCTGTGTTGCAGTTTCAGTCTCTGGCCCCAGTTCAGACATATGCAGGAGGCAACCAATAGATGTGTCTCTCCGACATTGATGTTTCTCTCTCTCCCTCCCTCCCACCTTCCATCCTTCCCACTCTCTCTAAAAATGAACGGGCAAAATATCCTCCAAAACGGATTAACAAGACAACAAAAAAGGCAATCAACTGAATGGGAATAAGTATTTGCAGAGGATACCTCTGATAAGGGCCTAATTTCCAAAATATATAGAGAACTCTTACAGCTCAACAACAGCAATAAAATGTGATTAGAATATGGGCAGAAGACCTGAATAGACAGTCACCCAAAGAAGACATACAGATGGCCTTCCAATGTATTAAAAGATTCTCAACATCACTAGTTATTAGGGAAATGCAAATCAAAACCACAATGAGATACGACCTCACACCTGATAAAATGTCTATTATCAAAAAGACAAG